AAAAGGAATCCTCTTGTTCTACTTTTAAATTATTTAATGTTTTAATAATTACATATTTTAATAATGCATTTCTACAAATCGTTTTCACCGACAATTTTCTGCTACGTTGAATAGTCTCAGTGTAACCTCTATGACACACATCGGGTAAGAACACATGCAGGCCATTATCATGTCATTCCAATTACACTTTTGTGGTTTAATTATGAAATTCTTAATTTTAAGCACTTTACTTGTGAATGTTATTCACAAACACTGTTAAATAAGTGCATCTTGTACATGATTGTTAAACCAATATCATTAAGACTGATAATGACCCTTTAAGGATGAAACGCTTCTATTAATAATAATTTCCGTATAGTGATAAACTTTGTTGGACACATTCGAATATTTATTTGTATTCTTAAATAATTAGATCACATATTTTATGTTATGAATTGGAGTTCAATGTCTTTCTTTTTTCCTCACGCGACATCTCTCCTTATTTGAGCCTACAAGCGTGTTTACTTATTGCCTTCCCGCAGTTCTGTTTTAGAGATAATGAACAGATTACAGCCATTACAGATTGTATTAACCGAGCGATTTCTGACTGCACTATTAAACATAACGCTCGTCGGTAGCGTGGCCGAGCGGTCTAAGGCGCTGGTTTAAGGCACCAGTCTCTTCGGGGGCGTGGGTTCGAATCCCACCGCTGCCAAAATTTTATTCACAACTATTTATAGTTTTAAGTATAAAGTGTTATAAGGTAAAAGCATTCATAATTATAACTCACCAGAGCCAACCATGAGACTGGGATTCTACAACATTTCGGAGGTCATAAGTTCTAATCTTAGCATGCTATATTGATTATGCTGTTTCTTGATGTTCTCAGTCCTTCCAGGCAAAATAGTGTAATTTTATGAAACAGCTTTCATAATCATCATGCCATTCCTCATTAAGTAAACGGGCCTATATCACTGTCCGTGTGTCTAAACACCAGTTCGTGATGGCGTGTGAGCCAGGCCTCTATCCTTCTAACGAACCATTTTATTCTTTGTTGCTATGTAGTCTGAGGTACTGACGGCATCGATAAGTGAACACTAAATAAATACGACACAAAAATCTGTATGGTAAATGGCATCCTGCAACAGAAAATGTGATTCAACAGTTTAAGTCAGCATTCAAACATATTGCTGTACTTTGACAGGATCAGAATTCTCCTTTACTTATTTTCTAATTTCTCCCTTCATTTCAGTCCATTAATAAATTTACTGTATACTTCTTAATTAGTCAGTTGCCTGTTATTTATTTTTCTCTTTTTTAGATATCATTCGTACTGTATATTACGTGTCAGTAGGTGTACATTAAACGCGGTAGTTGAAATTTACATTTACTGCGGTGGCTGTCTTGGGTGCTACAAAAGAGTTAAGTAGAAAAAAGCTTCCTGAGATCGGGATCTACCCGGACATGCACGTATTTATTCTTCCTAATACCATTCTTGATCACGACAGACTTCAGTCTCCGGCAAGAACAGCGAAGAAAGAGGGTGAGTGTATGTGTGTAATGTGTGACGAAACCAATTATGGGAGCAAGATCTTCATTTGTTTCCGTCTGTTGAATCCCGAGAGTGTATTTTTATCATTTCCACGTCATTATGTATCATCTCCAATACATCATCATTAATCCGTCACTTCTGATGCTACACCATGCACGTCATTAGATCAGGGTAAAAAAGACATGGCTGTTCTCTATCAAAATGAACGTCAGTGTTGTCTCTTGAGAGCGCAATGCAGGGGATAGGGCTGACGTCACGGAAGCTTTGAGAAGGGTAAAATGAACACGCAGTGCGAGTCTGAGCCCTATTACGTATTTTAAGAAACATTACAAATTTGTTTTGAATGCCGATAGAAGGTTTACGAAATAACTGAAAACAATGCCAGAAGATACGGAGATGCTGAGTTGCATTTTTACGCATTATTTGCACAAAGTTTGCAAAGAGAAACGTGTCTAGCCGTCGATCTGCATGTTACATCTCCAAAATAATTCAATGGATTTCGATCAAATTTGGTACTGACAGTCTAAACTGGAAATTTGTTTAGAGAAATTTAATTTTCTCAAACACAATTTACATTACCAATAAGCAGTACATTATAAAAATTTTAGACCACATTTTTATCTATTAAAAATATATAAATAAGCATAAAAACAAATCTGAGAATGTTGGAAGACACTTCCTTATAAAACTTACGAACTGAATCTTTCAAGGAGTAGAATGTCTGCAACCTGCCAAACCTAGACCCTTGCCCCTAGATGCACCGTAAACAACTATAGAAATGTCCACCCTTAGCACAAAGGAACACCCCAAGGCGCGTTCTATCTTCATTACAGAGCGACACTGTCATTTCTCACACAATATTAACCCCAAATGCAATAAAACTGATAAATATAGTAAAATGGCAAAACACTCCAACTGTCGGCCATTTATAAAAGTTTGCCTTAAATGTTTTTTTCGTTTACTTGGTGGATGGCAAGACAAAATCATTCAAACTTTGCGGTGAGCAATGCAGGGGTCTTTTTTGGGAGATGATGTAACGGGGTGAATTGAATTGAACTGAATTGTTATTGACATCTCTCTGCATTTCAGTGTCGTATGCAACCATACGTTTCTATTAACCTTCCGATTCTGTGCAGTGCCGCACCGTTTCTGTTAAAGAGATATGTAGAAAGGAGACTGTATCGAAGATGTACATGATTATTTTATTTGTAGTGTTCTGTCTGACGACAGGTCCATATGAACAGGATCCTTCCATCCTTTTCTCGGACTCGGACCTGTTCATATACGTTCTTGGCAGATGATCCAGAAGTGGTTTGCCATTGCCTTCTTCTGTGTGTGAATGGAGTAATTGTTGGGATGCCACGGAGAAACCGGGGAAGCCCCCGGAGGAAAACTCCGTGTTGCCTAGACCACGGCCTTGCCCAACACAAGTTATAAATTCGGGCACCGCCGGGAATCGAACCCGAGACCCCAGGATTACAAGGCCAGCGTTCTAACCGCTAGACCACCGTGGCAGGATGATATTAAAATGGGTCTTAAATGTGGTATGGGGGTACTGAATGGAATCAACTTGATCTATCAGCTTTTTCAAGAAACACATTCATAATGATATTTTAGTTTTGTATTAACGTGAAGACCGGTTATGTATTCATAATCACAATTAAGTCGTCCAGGAAGAAGTCGATTAATTACCTCACTCAATATGGTGACCAGACCAATTTTCCCTTCGCCATGGGTTCTGTGGCCCACCAATTTTTCTGTTTAACAGTAAATAACGGGAGCTTAATGCATAATTAAGCATTAGGGTCAGCTTCACCTACCTCATTTCGAGTATACTTACTCGTGTTCGAAACACAAAACTTTAAAATATGATTATTGCTGGTTCGATTAATACACGTCAGACAAAAATATAAAGCATTATAGCATTATTATTATATATTGTAAGTGCTATATATTACAGCGCGTGAATTGCAGCATCACCAACAGAGGCAGCACTGGTAGATATGAAACTGACGTCTAACCCCCCCCCCCTCCCGGTGACGCTATTGTATTGTTTGTTGTGGCGACACAGGGTTACAGGGGGACCATGTTCCTGACAGCGTAATTCTATACAAGCTGCGGTGTCCATCTGTATCATCAAATTTAAGCAGCTGTGTACAAAATATGCAAAACGTATCACATGACACGAACTGAGTTTTGTCATCTCAGTGTTAAAATGCATTACTTTAGCTGTAAAGCCCATGTGATTTATACGGAAAGAATTAATGAAAGTCAAAATGCCCTAGCTACACCAATTAGTCACTTACCTTCAGAATTTTTTAAATAAACGTTCACGTGAATTTCTTACCTCCCCACAAGCGTGTTACAGGTCCTGCCCATCTCATCCTAATCTTCCTAATCAACTCAATCAGCGAAGGAATATTAGGTGATAAGTAGAAATTACGAAGTTGCTTACTGCATTGTTTTCTATAGAAACCTGTCTCATTATTTATGTTAGACCCAAATATTCTTCATAGGGCCCCGTTTTCACTCCATGTTCTTCACTTGCAGGGGTAGACCCATGTTTCACACTCGTATTAAACATATAAATTATAGTTACGTATATTTTAATGTTTACGTGTTCAGATCAGGAATTGAAAAAAAATTCTGAATTTAATATCCCCTTAAAACACTGACAGATATGAACCAGAGCCTAATGTTGTGATTTGTAGTGTGTGTTAACAATACCGAGATTAAAACTCGCACAGCCAATGCTTATTATTTTCATCGGCTGGCAACACTGAAGCACTAATGTCGACAAAAATTCTCTCATTACATGGAGACCGATTTAAAACAATCAAACCCATGTCCAGGAAGCAATATAAACATTGTTTCGTTATTTAACGACGTTTCTCAATTGTCAATTGTTATTTAGGGTCGATTATTACTACGAGTGGGAATGAATAATTGGAAAGAATGTAGAGGGAGGAGCAGGTTGTGTCCTATTTTAAGGTCCATCAAATGATTTTCCTACAGCTTGTGAAAACCACACAAAATATTGTTACTTCTAGAATAGTCGACACCTAGAGTTAGATTCGAATGAGGGGTTTCCCCATTATGAAGCAGGGGTGCCAATGTGAATATACCGAATACAGAAATTAACAGAATTGCTTCTATTTCTTGCCTTTTCTTTATTTCCTTCTTCCAACCTTGGATTAGTCTTTTCTTTCGACCTTTTTCTTTCCACTCCCGTTTATTTTTCTATTTGTTTCTTCTTCTCTTCTCTTTCTCTTTCTTTTGCCAAAACAGCGAATATTTGCAGCGAATGGCTCTTCGCATCGACACACTAATTGTGCCAATGAAAGACAATATTAGTTGAGAATGACAAATCGTAAGGATTACGGATGAAAACGCGGAAATGATGCGAGCGCAACTTTGAATAACGGCTTTGTCCATGAACACGGGTTAAAATACCGCATCGCCGCGCCGAGAACTTTAATCACGGATTCTCTCTCTACTCGCGCAGTTCAGTGACAGGTGAAAAAGCATGGGTTTGCCAGGGCTGATCTCCTGGTCTCTTCTGGGAGTCGCAGTCATTTGCTTGGCTCAAAATCAACAGGTAAGAGACCTTACAAACATGGCGACGATGCAAAGCTTTCAGGTTACATCTGGCAAATTTAAGAAAACAAGAATCCGTGTTGATGGAAATCATGAACACAAATAAATTATTATCTATCTGAGATATGAATTTCTTCAGGACATGAAAGTGGGTAGCGGTCTTCAGGTGTTGTCACGCCGTGTATCAGGTGGTAATCAGCTGCCAGATAACATGGCGTCACAACCGTGGCTTGTGACATCATCCTAAGTTTGAAAACTGTTAAAACAGAGCAAGCCTTGTACACTAGCTGAAGTCAGTTTCACCCGAATCCTACCCCACAGCCTTTTTGTAGGTCTCTAGGCCACTGTTATCCTTATTTCTCTCTATCTCGATCTTCCATGCGACCATTTTTTTTAAAAAAATTCCCCAACAAAATTATGTATGCAGTTTCGTCTATTATCGTAACCTCCTAGATTTTACTATTTTATCAATGCTTGGTAACCTGCATGAATAACCAAGTATCTCGCCATGTAAACGTCCTTTATCAACGCTTGGTAACCTGTATGATTAACCAAGTATCTCGCCATGTAAACGTCTTTATGTCCTCCTTATTACTCCTTATTAAGTCGAAATATTTTCGTGAGAATTTTTTACAGACATTATCAATTAATGTTCCTTCCTCTATGTATTATGTTTTATTTTATTTGTAAAGAAACAGATTAAAAAATGTAATAACTAATTATTTTTCATTCGTTCTATATATTATAATAAAGAGTGATGCATTTGAATGGAATAGACGTCACAAATTCTTTCCTTCTTTTGTTTTAATGTGTTACGTAAAATGCTGAAATCTACATATGATTAAATTCTGAGCAGAAATATATGTATACTTTTTTCAACTGATTTCATATGTATATAAATAGAAACATCCATTGAAATTAATAACTACATGACAGAATCATCCATTTCACAGCGTAAAATTTCATTTCTAGATTTCCGTACTCGAAAATTATGTGATTTAACATCAATACGTTAACAAGTTTCAATATTATGAATACGAAACAGAAAAGTATGTGTCAAACATCATTTTTTGTTATTTTTACGATCCATCTCCAAGCAGTGCTATGGTCCAGTAGTTACAGCTATTTCTTCAGTAACTATCAGCAGAAAATGTCAGATCCACAATAAATTACATTAATTTAATTTTCACCTCAGAAGTCTGAATTGTCTCCCTGTTGCTAATATCAACAAGACGGCTATTGAGACTTCTGAGGTGGAATTAAATTGAAAATTACGAAAGTATTTAAATCAAGTTTCACGAAAATTTAGTCAATTGGTTGAAAGTTGTTACTAAGTCATTCACACACATGCAGGACCATAAAACATGAATTAGCTTTCCTTATAAGTAATGAAAGTAAGTTAAAAAATCCAAGAATCCAAATAATGAATACGTACGTATTTTTCTGTGTTCTGTTTACAATTGCTTTTACACAACAGAAATGTTCTCATGGAAGGCTATCTTTTGCTTCTGACTACTTATTTCGACCGCATATAAGACAAGTACCCTGTGATGTTCCATGAAGGCTTAGGTTACCGAGATTCGTTTTAAATTTAAAGGTAAATTTCAATTATTCAAATTGACATGCAAGAATAAGTTTAATATTCAGGGCATTGTTACCGGAAGCGGCTACTGAATAAGGCTTCAGGATGTTTCTGCGAATTTATTGTGATACAAATTCCGCATTTAAACAATTGGTGAGTCCAGTCAGCTGATTTCCACGCAGATACGTGGTTATGTTTCCGTCTCTTTTATAATTGTTGATTATGGCACAGTTCAGTTGTACGGGAAACTATAAAATTGCAATTTTATACAGAACATAAATTACATGATTTGTACGTAATTTTATTGTCTTCGACCGATTATAGCTGTCACTGATATAATTTTCTAATTAAATGGAGTAAAATTATGACAAGTTTACTATATCATAGTCTCTACTGGAGATGATTCCACGCCAGCTACATCCACTTATCACCCTCACAGCGAAGAACTCCAACATTCGCGTTCTGTATAAGAGGTAGAATATGTGGTTTGAAGCTCCTCCTAATTTATTCTTACCTAGTCATGACATCGTACACCCAGTCTTCAAGAATCAAACTGGAGATCGAAGCATTATGGCATAATTATTAAGTTTAGTCATACATTTGTGTGGAGGAAAGGCCACTAATGATACGTAAATTAAAACTATTAGGAGCTTGCTTTGTAAGTGTTTGTTTTATTTCTACACTGTACTTACAAACAAGAATAGTCATTGTAGCTGAGTCGACTTTAAATGTATAAGTTACATTTATTTTCATATTATCCTGCCAATCCATAGTTCTTCCAAGTAAAGATTTACAAGAGGAATCCCCGCCAGAATGATAGCCCTGATGACGGAGGCAGTATGACCTCTGAAACGTTGGTTAACATCTACCAGACTACACAGCGCAATAACCCAGAAGACAGAAATCTTCAGACTCACCGCTGTGAAAAACTCAAATCTTACAAATCTTATATTTACATTAGACTTAATCAAGTTGTTAAACAAGCTTACGGCATTTTTATATGAGTAACATCAAGTGCGAAAAAATTACGAAATCTCTGCCAACACTCTCAGATAACGAACCAACCTTTATCTAAAGCGGCCTTTTTCTAAAGAACTACACGGCGCAACATTCCAGAAGACAGCCATCTTCAGGATACAATTTGTATTCGTTATATGTAAATTCACATCGGTTTTCATGACGCATGCCTATTCTTGGGACCGGAGAATTTTACGATAACATGTTTAAATTTAACAAAAAGTTTCTTTTCAAGGTACGTTCAATTGTAGTCCTTTATTTATTTGTAGATTATTTAACGACAATGTCAGTAGTTCAGACTATAGCGTCGAATGATAGAATGATTAATGACTAATGAATTGGAAATAACATGGAATGAAGCAATTCGTCATCCATTTTAAGATACTAACCCAACATTTGCCTGTAGATACCGAGAGAAATCAGGAAATATCTCAGAATAGCAGGTCTGCACACCGAGATTTGAACCTTGGACCTCCCCAGTACAAAACAGGCGTATGCAACTCTCCGTAATATTTTATTGCTTAACTCTAAACTCTTGAATGACTACCGAAAACAATCCTATCAGTCTGTCAAGTTCCATCATTCTCTTCGCTAAATAGAAGAGAACATCAAGTTATTCTTGCCCTAACGACTGTGGTCGACCATTAGTATCCGACGCTAGCAGTCTCTGCTTCCCCTTTATCCGGACGTCAGCGCCTTCTGAATTTCAGATGTTTTTTTAAACGAAAGTGAAATTATTCTTCTCCTGTTCCATCTATCCACGTCAAACACAAGTCTTTCTGTTTACCTCAGACATTATCACTAGTCTTATTCCTTTTGTCATCAGTTTTTCTCCATTATTTTTCAAATGTCCGTTGTGTCCCCATTTGTTCTTATTCGCTATTTCGCATGCTTCCCACCTCCGTTTTCGTTTTTCCCATGTTTTTTTCTATTTATAATCAGACATTCTCTAAAATTAAATTTCACAAAGCAACAGAATGGCGTTCTTTCGTAGATTTTTCAGTTCCTTTTTGTCCCCTTATTTAACAAGTTTTTCCAGATGCAATTCGTACCAGAACATAGAATTTCCACCTGTGTTCTTCACAGCTTTACATTCTGAATATTCCTAGCTGAAGCCTGAAGGAAAAAAAAAGAGTAGAAAATTACATACGAGCCCCTTTTTGCGTGTGTGTGAATAAGACAAGTAAGCAAAAGTTTGTGAGTAAATCTCATCTTGCATTCAGAATGAGGTTATTCTTTATTTTTTACATCGTCTGCGATCGACTGTTACGTTAACTTCGGCGTAGTAGTCACTACCGACTGCTGGAAATTAAAAAGTACAAATTTTGGTTAGCCTCCAATTGCTTAATGTCTTCATTATTATTATTTAGTGTTCTGTCTGACGACAGGTCCATATGAACAGGATCCTTCCATCCTTTTCTCGGACTGGGACCTGTTCATATACGTTCTTGGCAGATGATCCAGAAGTGGTTTGCCATTGCCTTCTTCTGTGTGAGTGTGAATGGAGTAATTGTTGGGATGCCACGGAGAAACCGGGGAAGCCCCCAGAGGAAAACTCCGTGTTGCCTAGACCACGGCCTTGCCCAACACAAATTATAAATTCGGGCACCGCCGGGAATCGAACCCGAGACCCCAGGATTACAAGGCCAGCGTTCTAATCGCTAAACCACCGTGGCGGTGCTTAATGTCTGTACGAAGTTTAATCAAAATCCATCTAACGGTTCTCGATTTGAAACACGAATAGACGGGCAGCTGTATCATTCCTAAATGTGTTAATGCGTTCGTGCAAGGAACGGTTAAAGACGCATTTTCGGTGAATGGTTTCGAAGAGATGAGAAAGTGATATATCGAAGGTACAGAGAAGATTAGAGAGTAATGGTAACGATACAGATTTGAATCTTCAGGCAAGATCTTAAAATCTCAGCCGGGTTAGTCGTCCTGACATCCCTCCAGTATTTCCAGACAAATGAATGGATAATACCTATAAATTAAGGCGTAATCACCGCCTTCCAAATCGTCAGCTATCTACTCAACATTCATAATTATCTGTTGTACACCCCTGTCATCTAGTAAGTTTCCACGTTTCTTTCATAATTAGACTACTGAGTTCTACGTGTAATAACTGTGTTCTCATTGCTATAATTGTATGCAAATCACAGTTATTAATACCTTTCAAAAGTCACCATCACTTAAAACTACAGAGCACAATCCTTCTACACAAGATGAGGTCGCTCAGCTGATCATAAAATTTCCCGCCTTTTATTAAATCCGAGGATATCATTGCCCTGTTCAGAACAGCCCCATCATAACCTATTTCTTTTAGATCCATCTCAAGACTGAAAAGTGTGAACTTACTTGGTTGGTTAAGAAATGTACTGTAGATGTCGGTATTCTGTTTATAACTCAGTGTGAACTTATAGGTAAATACCAATGTTTCGGAGAAACAAGATGTCTCCATCTTCAGAGCTAAAGTCTCTAAAGTTAGAGATAGTATTTTTCTCCGAAGCGTTGATACCTTCAAGTCCGCACAAAGTTACTGCCTTGAATACCAATAGCAACATCTTCATCGCCGTGAGAACCTCAGGCCTAAGAAACATAGCGATTCTAATGGAACCCAAAAATTCCTTGCAGTGTTTACAAAGGCCAGCTGAATCTGTTTCCCTGTGACTCGTTTTACTATTGCCTATTCCTTTGTTAAAAACAATTTAAAATTTGCAGTCGACATCCTTCCAGGTCCATCCTTTTCCAGAGGATACTAACAACGGTGCAAACGTTGTTATTAAATCTAAATATTGAAAAAAAGTATGCCGCTATCAAGAATATGTGTGGGATATTTTCACTGTCTATAGCAGCAGGAAGTTTCTTGTCTGAATGAGGAATTATTTAAAAGACTAGTCTCAGCTTGACACTATGAAACACCGGGGGGGGGGGGGGGGGGGGGGAGAGAGAGAGGGTGTTTGAAAGGACAGCAGAAGAGGACGAGAAAAGAGAAGAATTGTGTGGGAGACGTGGGGGAGAAAAAGCATCATTTTGTTAGAAGGTTTCCAGTCTTTGCAAGTCCGTCCTGACAAGGGCAGAATAAGAGTGAAGACGTTGGAGTGGTGACAAATAGAAGCCTGAAGTTCACCTAAATAATATTAAAAATTCAGTTCATATCTCAAAGAAAACACAACGCGTCTCCATTACAAATATAAACTAGTTAATGTTTAGAGAAATTATCGCTGCTTGTTCTTAAACTCATACATACAATGCTCTGGAAGCAAAATGCAGAGTTGGGCCTTTTCGCAGTCAAAACAGAAGACATCGTTAAAACTGTGCTTTAAAAGGTTTGCTGCTCACTGATTACAGAAAGACGGATACTTTCGCCAAGTAATTTACGATCCGAATCCAGTGGGTCAAAGTCGGCAGAGACGCGACAACACACCGCGTACTATTCGAGTGGGTAAGTCCTCAGCGCTCTCCTACTGACAAATGAGACTGTCCACACGCATCTCTTCTTTCGAAGCTACCTTTCATTTTCCTTCTTCCACACCTTCCTCTTTTTTTTTGGTTTATTTATTACCTTCCCCTTATTTCTACCTCTTTTTAATTTTACATTTCTCCCTATTTATATTTTTCTCTGCTTTTCCTCTTTTCATCTCTCGTTCCTTCTAAATTTGTTCTGTCCTCCATTCTCGCCGTCATTATTTTATTCCTCAATTAAAAACGTATTTCTTCCTTTCTCTATTCTGTCTCTTCCTCGTTCAGACACTTTCCATTTACATAGGTCTCGTTCTCTTTTTAAATATTTTATGCCTCCCTCTCTCTCTCTCTCTCTCTCTATCTTGACTTATTTATTAATCTCTCTTTTCTATCATTGCATCCCTCCTCTCTTTATTTACTTGTCTTTCTTCCTCTCTCGGATTGCTTTCCACACTATTTTTCATCTCTCCGTGTCTGTCTCTTTTCTTTCGTATATATTCGTTTCTTTATATTTCTTTCTCTCTTTCCTTCGTGTTTGAATTGACTTGGTATGAGCTGGGACACCGGAAGCGAAAACGGACAGAACTTTGGGAGTGTTCGATTCTGTTCCATTTCAAAGCCGACTCAAAGACTCGCCCATCCTCTTATCCAATTGGTATCGGGTGTTCGTTTACGTTCAGCTACAGCCCGTCCACGAGTAAGTTCGCTATCAGCCATAGAATGACTCGGTAATATGAAGCAGACTACAGGTTTGGAATCCTAAAGCTGCCAGATACACGCGCGGAGAATTGCAGGAAATTGACGTAAATAAACTAATTCAGTGGCTTTGAGGATGTTCTAAAATATTTCGTGAATAACGCAAAATAATGTTCGAGAAAAAGCATCACCGTTGTTTAACCGGAGCTAAGTGGCTCAGATCCTCTAACAGCGTCTATTTACGTCAAGGCCACTTAACCAATGTTTAGCATTACCAAACCTTGGATTGCGATATCAGTTCACTTGTAGCGCGGCGTAGTCTGGTAGAAGTCTACCGACGATTCAGGGGTCCTTGCTGCCTGCATCACCTGGACCATAATGATCGCTCTGATAAGAGCCTCTGAAACGTCGGAAAACTTCTACCAGACTACTTGGCGCAACAACCCAGAAGACAGCCATCTTCAGACTCACCGCCGCGAAAACCTCAAATACTACTTAGCCTCGTAAAATAACAACCAATCATCCTTTCCACTACGCAGTACATAATCGGTTCAGTTGATACAACATCATTAAATTACAAGATAGCCAGTCAATCCTTCCAGTTCACTACACGCAATCCATCCAGTTGATACAACATAGTAAAATAAAATAATAAACCAGATTTTCCAATCCAGAGAACATACTCAACTCAGCTGATATGACGTCGTAAAATAAACAAACAATTAACTGACCTTTTGGGTCCACGGAAAGTAATGAATCTCTCATATGAAATTCGACGCTACATAACATTTCCAGTTGATTCAGCACTGCTCGTTTCCCACAGGTAACGTCACCGTGCTTACGGGAGCAAACTGGTCGTTGAACGTCTTTGACTTCGTGAAGGTGAGACGGAAGCCCAGCGGAGGGTTCGATGTGGAGGTGCAGCCCCCTAAATTCCTGTCGAAGATGTTCCCTCCCAATGGATCCCGGGTTCCCCCCATTGGAGACCCTGACGCTTCGCAAGACATGAAACGCGCCCGACCGAAGCTCATATCCAGCAGCAACGCGGAGTGACGCGCTGGCTGCTTCAAGCGACTGATCCCATCCCAGAGACGGGTTTCATTTGCGCCCACACAGCTTGTTTGCATATGTTCATATTTTACATAAAAATAATTCAGTTCTTTTCCTTTGTTAGAGTGTTTGCCAATAGCAACACGTATATGACAGGCAAACACTAATAAATATATACTTTAAACAAAAATAAGTAAAAATAAAACTAAACTAAGTAACGTTTTCTGTTCGAGACATCTCACTAAGAAACAGTCCTCTGGAGGTAATATTTCAGAACATCGGTGGACGGACAGAAATAAACTTTGTACGTTACCATGGAAAAAGGCCATACACAACCAGGAGCTGATTTTCTTAAAAATATCGCGGTTTTCCCGCAGTTTTTAACTACAGCATATTTTTTGCTGTGGTACCAAACAATTTAGCTTTGGAACGTAACCTTTTTTAACAAAATGTTAAATTCAGTAATGAGAAATAATTAATTAGAAGAAAAAAAACAGTTTCCGCCCGGGATCGAACCGGGGACCTTGCGCGTGTGAGGCGCACGTGATAACCACTACACTACGGAAACGTTACACAACAATATACACTCCCTATGATGTCTCAGGGCGTGGCATTAGTTTTAATTTACATTCGCTATTAAACAATATCTCACACACTAAAGAAAATAAACAAACCTGTAAATTAATTATTTTATATATGGACCTCAGTTGGTCAATAAATTTCCTATTTTTAAGGACCACGACAGTTTAACCATTTAATCTAGACGCCCCATATATTTCAAATGAATTTTGATACCATCCTCCCATCTACATCTGTATCCCGTAAGTGGTCTTTTCCCTTCAGGTTTTGAAATCACATTTCCCATTGTTTCACATGTCTCGTTCATATTTATTTACTCGCCCTAACAATATAAGGTGGAAAGAAGGCTCTATGAAACTTCTTAGTATGTAATATTTCTAGTCTTGTGACAAAATATGCTTCTTCTTAAATTCAAATGGACCAGCTATTTCGCAGTCTGCTCACCGACGTTATCCCGACGTCACCGCCTGCATGTAATATAATTTTTAAATAGGACAGACATAATCCATTATCAAAATGATACCCAAAATTTCTAAACTACAGAATTTCTAGCTGAAACTGTGTACGAGGAATGGCGGGAATTTTTTGTCAATACGTTTAATACCGGCCCTGAGGGTCACTCAGCCGTCTGTCCACTATGCGCTGTATGAACTCTTTCCTCGGGGTAAAATATCTGGGTAGAGAGTTTACCACTCTTCTCAGTGCAAGTGCGTGAAACTTTATCACAAATCCCCACACGTCTTCAAGGAGGACAGTACAGGAGCAACAGGATCCAAAGTTTCGACTAATCCCATCTACACCTAAGTCTAGTGGGGACATATCTCAACCAAGATGAGCCCGCATTTGGTGGTACGTGCCTTGTCCACCTCATCCTTTCTTTATAATTTAAAAAAAAAATCACAATAATAATAAGCAGCAGTAGCTGTAATAATAATAAAATAAATTCACAATAATAATAAGCACCAGTAGCTGTAATAATAATAAAATAAATAAGAAATAATAAAGATAAAATTTTAGATTCGACTCACCGTGCCATAAGAATGATCCTATGCGCGTACACAGGCATCTCGTCTCGTCCCACTAGAAACACTATGTCGGCAGAGTCATGATCCTCGGCGAGGCGCTGCAGGTCCTCCAAAAGTTGCGTTATCCCAGCCAGGTTCTTGTCAGGGAAGTGTACTGCTGCTACCCGGGTCCCCATAATCCTGTAGGACAGAAACAGAAACATAACGCTGAGAAAGTAAGTTGAGTGATGCTGTTTTTCTTCTTCTTCTTCTTTATTACACCGTGTCCTTACAGGAGGTTGGCGACATTATGAACAGGATCCCTCCATCCTTTTCTCAGACTGGGACCTGTTAATATGTTTTTTTAGGCAGGTGATCCAGAAGTGGTTTGCCATTGCCTTCTTCTGTGTG